GCCAATCTTTGCTACAAAATTCTATTTTTTGACGTATTATGGTTTATTTCGTTTATCGAATATTATTGTTTCCAACACCATATCATATTTCCTAATTTTTTTTCAAAATAAATGTAACGTCAAAAATATTTTCTGATGATATTTTATGTTTATCGTGCCTTTTGTATATTAAATCTCCAGCTTAAGAAAATGAAATCCTTGGTTGCACAAGAAATTATTATATGAGGTACTTAAGGTAACCGTGAGAGAATTTGGTAATTTGAAAAGAACACTGTTAATCAATTGCCTTCAATTTTATTCGATCTTTTAGAATCTTTTAGAATTTTAGAATAGAATATTAGCAGCAAATTAAATCAAAGTATAAAGACAATTATAGTCGAAATTTGCCCCTTATTAAACGGCCTATATTGAGCAACAATTTTCAGCAATACGGAACCACCGCAACGGAGAATTTTGCTTACATATGCGAGTTACATTCAGTACCTTAACTCGAAGGCTAAGAAGAAATCCCCTTTCGCTCGCACTGTTAAAAAGAGGATTCGGGCAGCAAGTTCCATGCAAAAAAAATTGAAAAAATATTGATTCCGGTTGTGTTCTACCTTCTTTTTGATCTACTGAATAACATGCAATTTAATGATAATAGCCCGGGTCAATAAATATGTAACTCCAAGTACTTTAGGCTAAAGTTGTTTACTATAAAGCTCGGTTAGAAGAAATATTTTAGATCTTCGAAAGAAATGTTGGAGTTAAGAACCAGTCCTTTAAAATTTTCAACTCGTAGTGTTGAGCAACTCAATTTTTCCCACAGCGTCGAATGCATTTTGCTCAAAACAACTCTTTTGCACACACGCGGACTTAATGGGATATATTTCCGCTCTGGTAGTGTCCATTCTGTAAATGAATATTTTAAACACTGAACGTTTCTGTCCACTGTCCAGTTTTCTCATGTTTGTTTAATTTCTATATAGTTAACAAAGAAAAACTAGAAATGACGAAATACATTTCAGAAATTATTTTATTTATTGTGCCTTCCTGAAACTTTATTTTGGTGTTAGAACTATCTCTAAAAGAAGTCTTTTCAAAACTTTTTTGCCGCTATTAAACTATTTATTGCCCATGGGACTTTGCAAGTACTGACACTGCGTGATTTTTCAATTTATCGTCTACGCAGCCTGACAAAAGATACTCTCTAGGGTGTTACTGTTCGACGTAATAAAAGATATTTAATTTATCTTTCAAATTATAATAGCATTCTTAACAAACTGAAAGATTTAGAAATATTAAACATATTTCTTTATAATTTAAATATTTATTTTGTTTTTAATATTCTGTATAACTCGTATAATTTAAATACGTTTAATTAAAAAATATAACTAATGATTGGTATTTACAGTCATTTTGTAATTAATAAAAGATGCTTTTGATGTCATATATTATATACCTTCTTATATAATCCTTTAATAAACATTGTTTTAAATTCAATGATATTCGAAATTAATTTATTGTTCAAAATATTTCAATTCTGACAATTTTGCTAGTACAATGTAGTACCCAAGAAACATTTTTTTTTTTATCAAAAAGTATAAATTATAGAAATGGTTCTCTCTCTCTCCAAGCATTTATTTACTCTGTACTTTTAAAATGTTTATTACAAATTTATCTCTATACGCTAAATGTTTATTAGAGCTTTGTTTGGAACATATCGCATTTATATAATTTACTGCAATCAGTTTTAAATCACATTACTCGTAGCTACATTAAAGCTACAAGGAGAGATATGGGTTCAGATATATGTGAAGTTAAATTTGTTTAGTTATTTACAAATTTGTGGAGAACATTAAGTTTTCTTAGACCAGGGCACATGAAAAAGCAACTACACTGTCGCCAACATCTGAATCATACATGTTCCATCTGCTAGCTGGATGGATTAACAACTAACATGACGAAAGTACGCACGTAGGAATAAGTTGATGTATTACATTCTCCCCCCCCCCACGTAAAATCATGGAGGTAGGAAAGGAAGGAGGGGCCAGTCGGCACTAGAAGTGAAGCACTACTTTGAAGCTTGGGTCACCAGATGGGGTGTTCTTTGTTTACATTCAGAAGCTCGCTTGACACGATTTTGATAGTATTTCGACACACGACAGTTCCATACAAATCGAAAAAGGGACACTTTCGCATGAAAGAAACATTCATAGTGTGATGGATATTAACAGTTTGTATAGTTTAGTGACATTTACGCAAAAATCACATCTTGGTTATTTTTCGATAACTAACAACAGCGCGATTTTGATTATGAATTTGTTTTATAAAATTCTAAGCTGTTGAACTACAAAAATATAGATTTTAAGAAAAATGTTATGCTTAAAGAATGAAAAATACCTTACGGTACATTTAAAATTGTATACGTCTTTCGATACCCTTGATAGAGTATTCGCTACTTTTATTTTATTTTCCAAACGCCAAAATGTTTTAAATAAAACAAATTTTTTCACATCCATATATTATTGTTGCATATTATTGCAAAAAGCATGTATCTGCCTTTGACAAAATACATAAATATTCATTAAATTATTTATAAATGTATTTGAAATTAAGAATTTATTCACTTATAAACAACTGTGAAAGTACTGTGAAGAAATCTAATTATTAAATGTATCTAATTTATAATGATTATAAATGTTATCTAAATATATAATAACCTTAATATTGAATTGTAAACATAAATTGAAATCCTGTTGACAAATACGTTATAAAACTATTTAAGCAAGAATTGTTCGTATTGGAAAGCAATCTGTTAAAAGGTATTGTAAAGCAAATGCTATGAGATGCGCACTTAAGAAGGTAATAAAGAGTTTTTGAATATGTATTGTTGAAATGAAGGGTAAAAAAAATCTGATAAGTATAATTAAAAGAATTATTCCCCTTACATTTTATAATAACTCAGTTATAAATTTTAAATAATACTTTAAAAAAAAAAAAAAAAAAAAAAAAAAAATCTGAAATGTTTCAGATTTTAAATTACGTTTTTTAACATTTTGTGTGTTACCTTTCTTTATTAAATATCATGTTCCTCGCACTTAAACCATAAGAACCAGTGCAACAGCAATATCGCAAAATAGTTTTAAAACGAGCATATCTTTAGAATTTCCGATACAGAGACTCACGCGCTGGAGATAAAAATGTTTTTTCTGCACAACGTTGCCATTGCTCGCTTTGAAATCCTTGAGTTTGTTAATCAAAAATTCGTCAAGTTTTAAAAAATAGGAAATCGATCATAAAAAATTTCAAATTTCAAATTTGGTCTTCCACATGCTCATATTCGTTGCAGGATTACGTTATTCAAAATTCGATGACTCTATGTACCGTTGTTTTATCACAATACGAGAAATATACATACATTTATGCAGATTTTTCATTATTTAATTTCTTCAAATATAATGCAGGACTCTAACATTTTGTGGCAACAGTTTGAAAAGTGAACCGACATTTATGAGTCGGACGCAAAATGCCAAAACGAAACTAATAGTCCTTCGGGATTCAAATCCCTTTGGACTAAAAACTTATTTTATTCCCTTTCAGAAATGTTCAGAGAAAGTCAAGTACTATTTAAAGTATTTCGCTAATTCCTAATAATTCTCTAATTTATAATTAACTGAATAGAGCATTAATTATAAATTGACTTACATTTTTCGATTTAAAAGATGCCTCAGAAGCCAAAAAAAATCATGTCATATTTAAGAAAGTATTTTAGGAAGAAGCTATAAATAGAAAAGAAATAATGCATAATTTTAATATTAAGAATACAATAAACCTTGATCTTAATTTTTGTACCTTAACCGAATAAAAATCGAATTACCTTAATTTTTTTTTCTAATGTAATTAACGAAAACTTGTGAAAATATTTCATTCAAATTAAACCATTCTGTGAAAAGTCCTGTGAAAAGTATAGCATTTAATTCCGTTCAGAATGAAATGTTGTTTAAAAATATGTTGTTTTCATATACTTAGGACTCTGAAGTGTTGTATAAAAAAGAAAATATATACATTTATATGTATATTTACGACGTAATTACAAAATATTTACATCCGAATGCGTCAAATCCCATTGAACTCAATGATAAATGACCCAATGTTTTGGTCACCACGTAGGGATCGCCGGTGCTTCAGAGCAGGATACGGGAGAAACTTGTTTAGGGTAACTCCATCTTACTTCCTACCTCCATGCATAAAATGCATACGGGGAGAGGTGGAGACTCAGTCAACCAAATACATTCAATGATGCGATATTATCTGTCCCATTTTAGTTCGGTACTACTGTAAGGATATTAGGATTTCTTGGAGCAAGAAATGGGAAAAATCAACTATGCTCTCACTGAGATTCGAATCATATAGATCTTCTAATTACTAGGCATCGCAGCACGCACGGAGGAATGCTATAATAATTCCTTACAAACGGAGTAATTTAAGAAATTATTGTGCAAGCAGTGATTTCTTTATTGAATAAAGCTATTAAAATTAACTGAGAAAGTCAATTTTTAAATTATGAAAAATATTCTTTCCTCTCCATTTGAAAGTCAACCTAGGTTAATATTTTTATGTTCATTTTTAACAAAAAATTATTGATTCTTAATTTGAATCCTCTGTTTTGACCTGAAATCTAATTTATAAATTTCATTTATCAGATCATAAAGGCATTGTCATTAAATATTATTAAAAAACATAAAACATCATATATGTAGTCTTTGGGCCGAGATTTTTGATTTGTCGTTTAATTAATAACTAGAGCTTTATTTAAATTAAATGTATGAATAAATATGTTATGATAATGTTCCTTGAAGTTGTGTATCATAAATTATATATCAACTTTAATGTTTATAGCATCAATTCTTATTATCTTTGTTCAAATGAAACGCTAAAAAATCTACTTTTTAAAATTAAGATGAAATACTTGATGCTCTCAATAAATGAATAAAAATTAATTTTTTGTTTCAGTAACAATGCTTTTTTTGGGCATATTCTTAGCTAGCCTCTTGATTGCTATCGCTGCTGCAGAGATTTGTCCTGATGCATCAGAATGTAAGGGAGGTAAGACCAGAGTAATAAAATTTTACTTACTAATACATGAAAAAGAGTAAAAAATACTTTAAAAAGATAAAATAGTATAGTAGATAATATAGGAGATACTAGAAATGTCTTGTACTCCTCATCTTCAGACGTCAGTGCAGAATTGTCTACTTGATGGGCTAGATCGTCAAGTAACAGCAGCCGCAGCAAGATGACCATCCATCTGAATGCATGGTACGGAGAAAGCGAAAGAGAAGAGTACAACCATTCAGTTTTAGGGCACGCTTTCATAACCGTGTCTTACCACACAGGAGCCTCATTTTATGGACTTCTTCATTTTTAACTCTTTGCTTGTTGCATTTTAGGATACATTCATGGTTAGGTTATTTCACTCTTCTGTTTCTTCTTCCCTATCTTGCTTAGGCCCAATTTTTTTTCTGTATATATATTATATGTATATATATAATCTGTGCCTTGTCATTAAAGTCAGTGCCTTGTCATTGCTTTTTTTTTAACCCACGTTTTTACCTGGCTTAAAAAATTCTCCTACCAAATGCTACGAAATAATTTTTGCCTTTCCTTCGTACCAAAGTTTGATTTTCCGCCCTACGGGCAGAAAGACTTAGCGGATGCAAACAAGACACCTATCTAGTTTGTCTGTCTGTTTATGCAAATCGACCACAGCTCGAAAATATAGAAATACGTTACGAGAGTTCATTGGCATAAAGATCACTGAATATTTACATCAGTTTCCAATAGGTTTGTAACAAAGACACATATGTCTGTTTTCAAAATTCAAGAACGGTTTATTCAAAATATTTTTCATCAGAAGTTACAGCATTCTGTCATTCAACAAACCGATCAGGCGACAAACAGATTTCACGAAGAAAAAGACTTGGTTGTTTTGAAAAAATCCAGCTTTGAAACAATCCAACTCTGGTTTTTGTAATTACAACTGAATCGCTCTTCGAAAAAGTTACTCTGCATGAATCGAAACAAGTAGTAATCTGAAAAAGCAATAAATGATAAACAAGTGAAATTTACTTCAACAAACGATGCGTTTCTGCTGCAGTTTTCTTTTCAGTAAAATAATTAATTAAAGCAAACTTCATTCAAATACATTTTTAAAGATAATTATTGTTTACACCTTAAACAGACTATAACTATACTAACTACTAATTACTATTAATTGTCAATTGTCAATAACTGTACTAATTGTCAATGCTCTTAAATGCAAGTGTTTTCAGATTCCGTTGCATAACTATACTAACAACTGCAGGTACAACTGTGGACTCTTTCATATTGGGAGACAGCTGTGCAAGTTGAATTTTCATTTGCTTTTCTAAATACAGTAGCAAATAAAACCCAACTTGCATATCGGTTCCCGGCAATTAAAGTCCCCCACTTTTCTTATGAAGGTTACTTCTTTACAAGTCAGAAATTGATCTTCATCTTGCATAATCGTGCTATCATCTTTAAGACCGGATATCGTTATATAGCAAGCTCGTTTCTGAGCACTGAAAGTGAAACATTTACCTGAGGCAATATTAGGTTAATACTTGGCTTCAAAGTTCTTAAAAGTATATGGCCAGTATTGGAATAAGAAATTAGATACATTAAAGTCTAAGGTTCTCAGCAGATTTATAAGTGGGTCATTTAATGAGGCAAATTCAGAACAGGCAGTTAGATAAAAAATGCTGTGCACCATCATTTAATGAGGCAATACACTGAATAATACGCTCAGTTTAAAAACCGATTTTTTTTGTTTGCTTGTATGTTTAGATTTAGAATTAACGCATTATTAAAGTGATGATATATCTACCCTGAATACACTGAATAATACACTTTATGCCAAGCTTGGCATAAAGTAGTTTAACCTTATCCCAAGGTGGTTTATCCCAAGGAACTCTGGAATATGGTGAAATACTTTTAACTCTATTTGTTCTATTTGTTCATATAATACAAATATACATTAGGTTACTTTTTTACTTTTATTCATATATATTAGTTTCTAGAACGGCCGGCGGTCATACGAAATGACCGCTGTTCTAGATATTATATATTGTAATTAAAATGATTTGTGCAAAGGTGTCTGCTAATTTAAACTGAATTACCCATGGCAGGCGGCGAGGACGCCCCTTTGCTTACTGCACCACGGGGTTTCCTCCTTCTACTTGCTTAATTGCTTAAAGTAGAGTGCAATGAAGGAAACCACTGGCGGTACATTTCTTAAGAGCCATCGCTAGCTCAATCAATAAAGGTGATTTAAATAATGAAATGTTAATTCACATGTCAAAGATCTCTTTGTACACAACATTTCTTGTGTAGATCTTTCCATCATTTTTAAACTCGCCTTGCAGAGGACCTTCCATAATTTTTAATTTTACCGTCCGTTCTTTCACGAACTCTTGAAGAGGCAACATAAAGTTGACCGTGTTCAAATGCAGGCTCAGGTACATTTAACTGGAACTTCTTTAAATTTCAGAGAAATGAATGTAAATTAATTTACAACCTGTATAAAGTAAAATATTTCCATCTGTCCCAAGCTCAAATGAAATAACAAAAGTTTCTTCTATTTGCTTTTTAATATAATAAAATTAGTTCAAATTATGTATCGTTTCCGCTTTTAACTGTACTTTTATAAGGATATGAATAAATATATCATGTAGTTAGGGATCAGTGATGGCAATTTTGTGGAATATTGGCCTACAGTTTTAATAAAAAAGAGTACAAATGCCGAACAATTCTGAGAAAAATTCACACAATTCTGAGATATTTGAGGCACTTCCGTTTAATAGCAGAAAAGAACGGAAGAAGTCAGTTGAACGCAGATTTTTTTTTTAATTTTGAGATCACTATCTTTGTCTATTATTTGTCTTCTTAGGTCCTCATGACACCGAGGCAATTATGATACTGTGATATAAGTTTCAGTGTATCTTTGTCCTATAATTCTTTCGCGAATTTAATGAGAAATTCCATTACTGCTTTCTAACGTTCTTCGTTGTCAGTAAAGTTCTTTCCAGCCCAAAACTCCATAAATTTTATAAAATGATAATCAACGATGGGAGACGATCGGTACTGTAAGCGAAATGTTGCCTAGTAACAAAAGTTCTGAAGGATGTATTATGTAGATATGCGCCCATGAGTTTCCTGAAGGATAAACGTTTTTGAGCAGGGAGGATGGCAGTTTCTCTTTTTCTTAGGCAAGCGCTTTCCCCAGCTTATCTTCTCCGTGGCAATTCCTAGCCGCATGTCGCCGCATCCACACAAATCTGCATTACAACTTTTAGTGGGAAAATCGGAACATTCAATTTATAGCTCTGACTTCGCTGCGATCTCAAACGATATTAGCTTGGCAAAACCAGAGAAAAAATCCAAATGCTTCGGCCTGTAAAAGTTTTAAAGAAATTAGCAATGTTTTCGGTTAAATATACCATATTAACCATTTTTGAAGACATATATAGTTCTAACGCTAACAGAGAGATTATGAAACTTACAAAAAACATAATCTTTTCCATGCAGTCCTACGTACTAAGCCACCCAAATTCCGAATTTTCATTTTAGAATTCTGATTAATACTCTGTTACAGTGTTTCTCCGTTTGAAGAGTTTTTCCATGTTATAATTTTTCTTTTAAAGTATATTAATTTTTGTTTGCTGTAAAATGCTCTCATTTGTGTCATGTTTGATCAAGATAATTCTTTTTGTATTCGGCACTAGGCTATACATGCATACGTAATGGACTACGGAATTTAAAATTGCTGTTTGCTTTTTTGATGCTAGTCATCAAAAACGAACAACTATAGCCAGTAAATCCCAGCTACTGGCAGTACTTCTAGCCAGTATGAAAACTAAAGCCAGTAAATCCCCGCTACACGTTGGAATTTGCTGGCTTTGGGGAGTTTTAAGCGATTTTAATTTACATTCTTATAATAAATTTTGTGTAAAAGATTAAAGTTTAGGCATGACAGTTGGCTATAACAACACTAGTTCTTTCTATTCTGCATAACGAAGACACCTTTTGTCGTTTTCGTAATCACGTATCTATGTTTTCCTCTACAGATTTTAAGCACCTAATTCTTAGACATGTAAATAACATAACATATCTCTGTTAAAGTTCATGTAAAAACACAGAACGTTGAGTGATATTCAACGCTACACTTGTAGTGTTCCTCTCTTTTATCTATTAACTCAGTGTTGAGAAACCTAGTGAACAGCTAAGCGAATAATCACTTAAGTTCACTTGCATGAACGTAAACTCTTTGGTTAAATTACCCTTTGTTCGCTCAAACTAAAGGTGTACAGACGGTCCCTTTCTTAGGACGTAAAACAAAGCCTCCACTTGGGTTTAAACTCAAAAATATAAGAAATAAGAACTTAGCTAATGACTAACCAGAGAGATTTATCCGAAGCTAACACAATTTTAAACTAGTTGGACCCTCAATATCGAGTTAGCTAGCAAAGCTATCAAGAGCCCGTAATACGGCCGAACGTAGTAACAGCTTAGACAGATTTGGCCAAAAGGCAAACGCGCGCTAGTCAGAAACTCTCTCTCGATTCTCTCTCTCGAAGTCAGTGGAACTTCGACTTAAATACTACTCCTTTTCATTTGCATTTAAAGCGATTCTAAAAACACATTTTGGTAAGGAATTGTAAACTGAAGCTAGGAGAGATAGGAAAGGAGCATATACTTAAAAATATCTGTTATAAACTTAAACCTTACACACTGATGATTCTGTTTTTTATATATTACTGCGTCAGCATTTAATGAAACTTGCAGAGAAATTATCACTTTTTTAAGTATATTTCTATGAATTTCTTTACCTATTTTTTAGCTAAAGCACGTTTCTAATGGTAATTACTTTAAAGTGAACTTAACTATCAATTATGAAATTTTATTTTGAATAAATTCACTTTATCTGATTAAGTATCGTTATTTTACTTTTGATCATCTTACCAATAATATTCGTAAACTATTTGATGCAGGAAATCCAATTTTCTACTTTATTTCAATAATTAGAAAAGAGTTAAACGCGGAAATATATCAGTGCATATGTCCAAATAATTCTCTTTCAGTATTATTAAATTTACTCTATAAACATATTTATGAATCCTTTTATCTTTTAGAATGTTGTCGTATGCATGGCAAAGACAATTATAAGTGCTGCAAATTTCCTTTTGCTTGTTATCGGTCTGGTCATCATAATGGTGCTGGATATTGTTTGCTAGGTTATCCTAGTCAGGCTGTTATCAAACCAGCACAAGACATTGCTCCTACCGAAACAACAGGGAAAAGCGGAACAGCTATTGAAGCAGGAGCTCAAGAAATGAATCCTCTCCAACAGCCTCAGAATGGTTAGTATATTACTTCTACACAAATCGCTATCTAATCCTGGTACAATTCAAAATTAATTCGAAGATGAAGAAACCCAAGATTTCAATGTATGACGGAGTGTGAATATTGACAACGTGTTTTCGTGACGCAAATTTCTAATTTTTGTAATGTTGACAGCTCTGTATTTGGTGGTAAAAACTTTACTATAGAAATATTCATCACCAATTTTACAGGCACGTTAAAAGACATACGAAAAGTTAATTTCCGTATTTTGAGTCATTATGCTAAAAAATTAATTTCGTTTTTCATATCATTAATTTAAAAAGATAATTAAATCTTCATGGAAAATAAAACAAATTCAACAAACAACAGGTGGAATAGAGCGGGTCACCAGAATTTCTTTATAGGTCACACAGGTATGGTGCAACTGTATACTAACTGGGCATCTCCGCCCCATCTTTTCGTTCGCGTCCCGAGGGACGGATCAAAGGGTCTCCTAGTCATTTTTTCTGACCACCAGACTACTCAAGAAGCTCGCCAGTATTTCAAGTGCCCTGATACCTCTCAGACTCTGTACACTTACAAATATCCATGCCTTCTCCGGAATTGGAGGCCAGGCCCCCAACGATGCGGCAGCCAACATAACTAATCAATATACTGAACTTTGCGACTATAACAAACAACACCAAAATAAGCAAAAACAAGTTGTATACTTCGGGTTTTGAGCAGCAGACCTTTCCTCTAGGATTTATAAATGTTGCTGCTCACCACAGAAGCTTCAATCAGAGAGGTAGCTAGCTAATAGTCAGATTACTTACGGTTTAGATGTATCTTCTCCTTTATCCTTGAAAGTAAAAATTATCTTTAGGCAAATGACATAAGGTAGTTTTCAAAGCAAATAATTGAAAATTAGAAGCGGTCTTATTTAGCATTTACAGGTGCATTACTTTTTAAGGGACTCTACAATTTTTCGGAGTTTGGAATTAGGACCTGATCTGCACAAGGGCAAAAGGGGCATCCTTCAAAGGCTTCATAATTTTTTATGGGGTATAAAATATGTAAAATGTTATATAGCTTTCCACTCTAGATTTTGGAGAAATAAAATTAGAAAAAAGGAATAAAATTTTATACTTCATATTCTAGTTTTGCATGTCTTTGTTAAAAATCAGACATTGAGCCATTTTCTCACTATCTGACTTGTGAGCTATATAATTAATTTAGTGTGCATTTTTACAGTTTTAACGCATTGATGCAGTTGCAGAAACGGAAGTTTAACCGCAAACTGCAAGGTCCCTTTTTCATAATAAGTGGGAAAAAGAAAAAGAATATGTCAGAAAAAATCTGAAAGCTTTCAGATTTTATATTACACCCAAAGGGGCATTTTTTAACGTTTTGTGTGTTACCTTTATTTATTAGATATCATGTTTTTCGCACTTAAGCCATAACATTCAGTTCAAAAACAGTATCCCAAAATATTTTAAAAGGAGCATATCTTTAGAATTTCCGACACAGTCTCACGCGCTTTAGATAATTTTTTTTTTTACCGCACAGTGTTTCCATTGCTCCTTTTGAAATTGTTGAGTTTCTTGAAATTCATAAATGCTTTACAAAATATGAAATGGATAATAAAACAAATTCCAAATTTGGGCTTCCAGTTGCCCATACTCGGGTGGAGACGTACGTTATTCAAAATTTGATGACTCTAGGTACTGGTGTTTTATCGCAATGCGAGAACATACATTCATGCAGATTCTTCGTTATTTAATTTCTTTAAATGTAACACAGGGCGATAATATCTGGTGACAACAATTTGAAAAGTGAAACGGGCATTTAAAATTTTGAATGCAAAATGCCAAAACGAAATTAATAGCCCTTCTGGGCTAACGCCGTTTGGACTAAAAACATGTAACACTAGGAAAAAAGAATTTGAATTATTAAATTCTATATTTTATTTATACATTTCTCTATTGAATTAATAAACTAATGATCTGGTTTTGTGTATGCAGTTTAATTGTTAAAATTTATAAGTAATAAAAAGTAAAACTCTGGTTTAAAATGTGTGAACTTATATTTCATACAGCATGTAAAGCACATATTTTATGCAGCACACAGGCAATGAAAACAAATGAAATGAAAAGAAGAAATGCGTATATTTATATTTAAATTACATTGAATGAAAAAATTTTGCATCCTTGATACTTACAATGTTGAAAATATTTGGAGCAGGTGACCTGCATAAGAGATTTTGGCCTGGTTACAGTTTTGTAAATAAGGCCCTGGTGCGAAATCAGTGAATCCAAGGTCTTGCACCCTACTTGTTGACAGTATCTGAACTTGAATGGTGATATAAATTGTTTGTAAGGATAACGGTTTTCTTTATCTTTTTCCTTAAAGCGTAAAACAAAAACATTCAGATGTTTAAAAAAAATCACGTGAAATTTATTTTTCTGCTACAAGAGAGTTCTTTTATTGTGTTAAACACCCTAACTTATTGTTACAGATTATGATTTTCTCTTTAATACAAAATTTAAATAAATTGAACCTGGAAGCATAATTTAATCTTAATATTAACCTCTTTTTTTTCTCTCTTTTTTTCCGTAGCTCAAGGCATGATTTGTGTTTTCTGAAAATTAGAAGCAAAGCAGATTGATTTGAAATTCTGAAGATTTGAAATTTGAACGAATTTTGAACTTAACTGTCTTTATCGTATAATATGCCATAATAAATAAAGCTAGCAAACTATACTTTTTGTGCCTTACAAGTTCTATATTTTTATTTGAATTTTTTCCATTTTATCTATATTATACTCACATAGCACTCTTAATAACTAAAAACAATTCTGTGTGTAAAAACGTGTATATTCTTAAAGTCAACAGCAACGATTTTTTTTTCAGAGCTGTTAGAATAAACTTTCTTGGTTTTGTTAGAAAAAGTGCTTATGGATCGTTTTGTTTGCAAGCATAAGATGTACGAGGCGTCGTAAGGACTGGGTAGTAAATTATCACTATATCTTGTTAGAACCACAGGGACAGGGAAAGAGTGTAAAGGACACTTTTATTTGATTCAAATAAAAGTTGACAGACGGTACCACTCGTTCTTACAAAAGCCAATAATTATAGCTTAAATCAAAAACAATGTTTTAACCAAAGCTAAGAAAAGTAAGTTAGCTTAATGGCTGCACAACTAGAGGAAAGCGCAAGTTGGCTCTGACCTAAGATCAGCGCAACAAGCCTAATAGCGGGAACGCAACACCGCAGAATACTACTAACGAGAGAATCAA